CGTTATTATAATTCTCAATGCTCCCACATAAATATTCAATGTAGCGTGTAGAAACTGAAACAGTAAAGCATTTCTTTACAAAAACTCACCCTTGCACGTTTCACCATTTATCGTGCACACTATATTCATCGTACGCCAGAACACGAGGCAATGAAATCGCATTCTGGATGACGACAGATAGCCGTACACTGTCTGGGAGACGAAGCGACGCTGCGCAGGTGGTTGGTCTACGACCCCCGTCAGAGGGTGCAAGGATGGAGGTTCGCCTCGTACATGCTGCTGCACTCGAACGCGCTTCACCTTGCGTTGAACGTGGTCATCCAGCTGGTGCTGGCCACCCCTCTCGAGGTGAGTTAATCAGACTAATTGCCTACCTTTGGCTGGCCACCCTTTACGACGACCTCCCGCAATGTGTATCCTTCGGTAGACCGATCGATCCGTGTCCATTGAATTCAAAAATGGCTTCCTTCTTTGAAATTTCTTTTTCCTTATTTTATGATATTAGCCAGATTAAAAACGCCATCAAACGATTTGCGTGGATTCTCCAATGGACCTAAATTATTATGGATTTTTATAAATTATATATAAAGATTTATTTATGTAGATACTTACGTCTCTCTTTGTAAAATCTGTATTTGTATTGTTCTTGAATTTATTATAAATATTGGAATTTTTGAATAATTTGTAATAATTCTTCAATTAATTTCTTTCCATTTCCTTCAATTTTTCTTCTCGAATCTCTTTTAATTGAAATTTTTATGGAAAGACGAAGAATTCTATTTTTATTTGTATTAACGAAGCATTCTGTGTTAAACTATTTATTACAAGAAATTCTTCTAACGGCATGGAAAATGTATGGGAGGAAAGAAATTATCGATGATCATAGGTGGAACAGGGTCGAATAGGGGTGGCAACCATTTATTTAGGAGGTGGCGTTTGCGGAGCACTTGGGGCATCCCTTCTTCAGCCAAGCCTCTTCTTGGTTGGTGCCTCGGCAGGTGTATATGCCTTACTCACCAGCCATCTTGCGCACCTTTATTTGGTAAGCTACAAGAAATATTGCTAATTATCATTATGATATTGTGAAACATGCTTCGTTGACCATCTTCTCAAAATTGTAAAATTATTATTATATATGTAACAAATATTTTTTCCTTTCTATTATTGATTTTAAAAGTATTTTCACGTAATTTGACTTTCCTCCTTTATTGCTGGAAATCCCCTTTCCTTTTAAAACATTTCTCCAAGATATCAATCATTCAAGCGTTCCTTCAAATTCTTCCAGAAGAATTTTCCTGACATAAAAAAATTAAAAAATAATTAATTTCTTAAGAACTCCTTTCTTAATATTCTCAATCCAACTTCATCGTTTCTTCGTCACAAAATTCATAAACCATTGAACAACAAAATTCATCAATGCACTCCATCTCTAATTTCCAGTGTCACGGAGAGCTCCGTTACGCCGGCTGGCGGCTAGGCGCGGTACTACTCTTAGCCAGTGCGGACGTTGCTTCACTGCCAATCCCAGCCCTTCTGGGTTGCGGTCGAGTCGGTTGGGCCGCGCACGTAGCTGGTGCACTGGCAGGACCTCTTCTAGGACTGGCTGTGTTCCCAAACCAGAGCAAAAAGGACGCCAGGGGACGAAGATTCGTTAGATTCGTTCGCCTCTTATCCGCCATCAGCGTGATGCTCCTCGTCGTAGGCGCCATCTTGGGCAACATTTACCTGATCGCCCTCCCGCAACTGAGAAAGCCATCCTGACAGAGAATCGAGCTGCTCGTCAAACTCTGCAGACGATCCTTCCTTATCGTCAAGATCAGGGAGGCCGCCGAGAGCGTTTTCGAGTAGGTCCTCACCAATCTTATCTCTTTGGAGTGGGAATATTTGCCATGTGACTTGGACCCCGGGAGAAAATTGGAATCGCGTGAAATTGTTGTGAGAAGAAGGATTCGACGATGAAATCTGAGATGGGGATCTTTGAAGATTGGAAATATTGTGGATTGTTAATAAATAAAAAAAGTTTTTTACAAGGTGTGGATTACAAGGATGGAAGTTGGAAGTGACATGGTCATGATGGTTTGGAAATGATTGAGGAGAAAGATTTTGAAAGAATTGAATGGAGTGAGGAATTAATTTATAAATTGGAAGAAATCTTGGAAGAATAAAAGATATTGGAAAGTATGACTCAAACTTGAACTTTGAGAATGAACAGTAACAAACAAATGAGATGCATTTAATTATAAAAAAAGAAAGACATTCTGAAAAATATTAGAAGAGACACGAAGAAATGATAGTGTCCCTGAAAAATCTATTGATTTTCACTGCTTAAAAAACTGCCACAAGAGAACCATCCATCAACCAAACAATTTCTCCCTCTCGAAAGAAGATAGTAATAAAAATGGGAAAAAACAAGATCAATCGATCAACCAGAAAAAAAAGAGAAAGGAGAAGAGACATGAGAGGAACCTAAGCGATTCTTGCGAAAAAAAAAGGAAACAAAAGAAAATTAGTTGGTAGAATTTCAGGTAGCTCGATCGAAGTTTCTTTGAGTGTATCGACAGGAATGATCGAGAATCTCTTTTTGTGAGAACCACAACACTATCGTGTCCACGTTTTTAGAATATCTCCTTTAGAAGATCTAACTCTTTTCATCGGAAATTTTGCTTTGTGATATCTTCGACTTGAAAAGATGAAATCTATGTTGGCCAAACTGTGTCTAATAGTGAGATTACGGTGATTTGTGATGCTGTTTTTCCAAACTTTGACGAATCGTCGTCGTTCAAACGACAAACTTACAAACCGCATAAATTGCTTGCTGGACCGCGATTTTTTTGTCAAAACGATCGATAAAGATGATTTTGATATATAGAAATGGTAATTGAAGAAGTTTGATTATGTTTGACGATATTTATATGTACTTTTGGTGTATAAAAAGAAGGAATTGAAAGAACTCGATCGACGTGGAATTTCTGATTGTAGTTTTGTGAAATAGAGAATCGAAAGAAGTTGAACTGTGCAATGATCTGATCGGCTATTTGATTGAACGTTCGGTGAATGGACAGAGAGATGAGTGATAGAAGTTAGAAGTTAGTTAAGAAACTGGATTATTGAAAAAAAATGGATTTGGTATTCTGGCCAAAAGTTTGGAATTACCAAGTGTATCTTAAGATATTAAAAAAAGAGAATCGACCTAGGAATTTTATTATATGAAAATTCTTCAAAAGCCTTTAAAGAAAATTGCTATTGATACACGTAGTTACATAATTTCTAACTTAATTCGATGTAGGAGAGTGATTTTAAATTTTTGGCCTTAACTTTCGATGACTGAGGAAAAAGGATTTTGAAAGCAAAAGTTAAACTCTTGGAAGGATCCCCTAATGGATCCACGTGCTTTTTTGCTGAGCATTCGAAGTTAAAAGTTTCTTCTTTCTCAAACGAAGGATGTGTTAAAAAAAGTGTCGAGAAAATCGAAGAAATTAGTCTGTTTAATAATGATCAAACTGGAATTGTTGAGTGTATTGAAAAAAGAGAGAGAGAGATCAAGAATTTTAGACTTTGTTTGAAGGAACAAGTTTGCTTTAGGAACGAACAGAAGTGAATGATGAAGACTGATATGAAAAAGTTGGAAGAATGTTAAATGGTTAGGATGATTTTGTTGTTGAATCGAAACGTTTCAGATCAATGACAGGAAAGAATTGATAACGAACGATGTCGATCGACGAAATAATTGTCGAAGTGACGAGTGTACAATCGATTAGCAGTAAGCCTGAAATCCGTTGATTGGTAAAATATCGCTAGGCCGTTGCCCCTGTGATTGTGTGAAAACCGATGAATAGAAGAGATATAATAATTACGTTTCTTTTTCTTCTTCAAGTTTTTTGTAATTTATTTCATTCAATAATTTTCCTCATTTTTTGATATCTTTTCATAATTGAAAAATTATTCCAATTAAAAAAATAATTATTGTTATCAATTAATACTTTACATACAATATTTATATAAAGATATTAACATCTTATAATTTTATTATAATTCTTAATATTTTTAAAAAAAGAATTCTAATGCCTTAACAATTTTTAAATTTAATTTCTCCTTATCAATTAAAACACTCTGCACATAACATTTATATACGGATATAAATATTAACAAACATTTTCTTAGTTCCATATATCATATTCCAATACCATACTGATTTTATTACAACTTTTAATATTCTTAAATTCTTTTAAAAACTTCTTTTAAATTTATCATATTGAAAAAAGAAACGAACTTCGATTCATTCGATTTTTCCACAAATTCAGGAACATTAATTAATAAGAACGTTCTAAAATAATTCTTCGCTATAGACTACCAATTAAAATAGGGATAAGTATTCGATATTATTTAATGGCGGCTGCAAACGACGAATTCCCCTCGTCGCTCGTTTCTTTCCTCCAATGGATGAAATCTGGCAAAAATTGGACGAGAAATGCATTTTCAGGATCGACACAACGATGCTTTCTTGGTCGAGGTGGATGGTCGTCGACATCGAGGACGTCGTTGTCGTCGAAGATGACGCGTGAGAACGACCTGATTTCCTTCTGAAAAATCGTACGACTACTCTTTACCAATTTTATGCGTCTCGTATGACTCTTTTAGCATTATACAGTTCAATTTTTGCATAATTGAATAGATTTTACGAATCGTTTCGATTCGAATTTCGATTGAAAATTTTAATACCTTTATTAAATTATTTAATTCGAATGAATATCGTACGATTTTCGGACATTTAATACCTAATCTTTTGCGCTCTGATTCTTTATCGATTTATATCAAGTCACGATAAGAGTGAAAAAAATCTTACATTTCCAAAAATGTTGATTAATTTTGTATTTGATTTATAATAGTTCTTTCTAAAAAAACGAAGCCAATTTCTCTGAAAAGAGGATCAAAATTAATTTTAAAACACTGCCAATATTCCGTCCTTTTGCAATACAGGCCCTAATACGCAGCTCCAATAAAGAAGTTGGACAGGAAGGATTTTTCCTCCCCATTGTATCGTCAAATTTTTATATCTTCGTATTTTGTTATTATAAATATCCTTTACATTGAATTTTTCCTTTGTTATACCAATTTTTCCAATTTCCATATTCCATAGGTATCTTCTCCATATTGCTTTCTCTATATATAACATTCCTCTTTCACGGAATATTCACCATTTTCATATTTTAAAATTTACTATTACTATATATATATATATATTTTCCCTTCCACACATAGAATTTTTCCTTCCCGTACAATATTGTTACACAATATTGTCCAAGTCATGTACAGAATTTTTCATTAAACCAAATCTCGTGATGATTCATCATGATGGATATTTATATTGGGAAGGACGAGGTTCACTTTCATTTTCGATTATATAAAAATATTTGTGAATTCACGACACGTATCCTTCACATTTCCCCCTTTCTATCTAATATAACGGTGGATAGGAAGAAAAAGGTAGGGAATGAAAAGAAGGATGAGTGAAAAGAAGAAAAATGGCGTGTCGTCCAGGGCCTACTAATGGACTCATTAGTAAGGCTCCTCCCCAGGAGGGATTCTTGGCCCCAGACGTGGTGGAGGTGAAATTCACGCTCGACTGGCGTCTCGGAGGACATATTCGCATGAACAGGATGATTAGGCGAGAACTTGCGAGAATTGCTGTGTTGCTACGAATTCCTCTGGTGGTGGTGAATGCGGGAGGGCCACCGCAATGGAATTTCTCAATTGAGCATCTAAACTTCCATCGTTTCAAAAGTTCTTCGTAGCTGTGGTGGTGGCTCGTTTGCAAAGATTTTATCTATCCATTCTTGATCTAATCTTGATGTGAACGAAACGGATTAAAAAGATATAATTATCAAATTAACAATTCTTCTTTCACCAATTCTTTTCATCCCCTGCAACAGTAAAATGATATTAAATATTAACACGACAATATTAATCGAACAAAGAAAACGTAAATGTTGTACTCACCCTATTTCCTGGGGTACCATCAAGTTAGAATAATATATCTTGATCAAAATTTCGTCGAATTTCCATCTTGCCTCAAATTAATATTGTAAATTAAATATAAAATGATAAAGATCAAGAGCGCAAAGGGTTGTTGCATTCAGAGATCGTTCTGTTAATCCACGTTCGGATTATCCAATGGAAGAAACATCGGAAGGGATGGAATTTAATCGAAGTGAATCGAAAAATTTTCCAAGAGTGGTGGTGGAAACTCGTACACAAACGTGGCTGGAATTTCGATCTTTTTCCACCCCCTCTAATCGTGCATCCCTTTTGTCCACGCCGAATAAGAGAGAGAGAGAGAGAGACGAGAATGAATAGAAGGAGGAGGAGGAATTAAAGTTCTGCGTCGCCTGCACCCCCTTGTATTTACGACCCTTCACACCCTTAGCTCTAAGCTGAAAGTGTCTTTTCCGCGCTTCTCGCTCCGAACGATTTCGATGAGAATTTAACCCCTTGCCTCGTGATATCGGGTCACGTTCGCGGACCAAGGAAGGAATTATGATTTTTGCCTCGACAAAGAAAGGAAAGAAAGTTGGAACGCTTAAAAGAAGAAGACCTATTTTTGTTGTGAAATATAATATTGTTTGCGAGTAGTTTCTTTTTTTTCTTTTTTTTTTTTTTTTTGTATTAAAGATTTGGATTCGTTGCTGTTGGAATTATTGGAAAGTAAGGTTAAAAGATGTTTCGGAGTAGAGAAGAAAATTTGATGATATTTTGAATGGTTGAAAACTTCGAAAGTTAAGCGGAAAGATCGTAAGGCAAGGGATTGAAGGACACTTGAGATTGCACTTTAATTGGTTAAAGCGAACCTCGATAATTTTCTTTTTTTTTTTTCTTTTAAGTAAAAGTTATTATAACGTTTCTTTGTTATCTTTTCTTTTTTTTTTTTTTTTTATTAGGAAACAAGAACATTTGTTGTTCTTAACGTCAGTGCAATGTACGATAATGCAATTGTACAGTGATAAGAAAATAAGAGTTAAGAGTAGATAGAGTGAAATTATTGATGTTATATAGAGGCTTGGAAAGAAACGATTTCCGATTGTCTGTCGAAAAATAATTGTTACGTTTGAAATGAAATGGAATTTTTTGAATTGGCGATCGAACGATTGTTGGAGGAAAGTGATCAAGTATCGTAATGTAAATCGGTTGATCGATTAATGTGTATGCGTGATAAAAGAGAAAAAAAAGAGAGAGAGAGAGAAATTCGAATCTTTTAATAAGAATATTTAATATTCGATTAATTAACATGTGATAAGAGAAATAAGAGAATGATATAATCGAATGGTGGAATTTTTAATTAAAATTGGTTGTAAACCAATGGAAGAATGAATTAAAGATAGAACTTGAGGATTAAGAATTGAGAAATGCTATTAAAAAAATCGCTCTTTCTTGGATTCCTCTCTCAAGATTCCTCAAAATCTCGAGTCGCAGATTCTCGATTCGAGGAACCCGGAAATTTTCAGCTCAAA